CCCTCCCGGAGAAGGGCGGCATACAAATAAACTAAATCTTAATCTTAATCTTCCCTTTCTTGGAATTTCTCAGTCCCATGATCATTCCCAGAACATATGTAAATGAATTACATATGCAATATACTAGGAGGCTGCCAATATTAATGTAAGATACAAATTTACAAGCATGGGTGAATGCAGTCTTCCCAGACGGCTTCCTTTGTAGAGAGTGAACTTCTCTCTGAAGATCTGCCAGTAGGCCATCTTCTCTTTGAAAACTGTTCACTTGATGCCAACAATTCTGTCTTGATGACAGTCAGAAGTAGAAAGAACAGCCTCAAAGTTTCCTGAGCAGGAGTACAATTCAACCTGGCCCCAACTTTAGCTGTTATTGTAATTTTATTTAGTGTACATTTAGAGATGTACTAACTATGTTTGAGCTATCATTGAATCAGTTCAGTGATGAGTTGCTATTTTTTTTTACTACTGGTTTGCAGAAGCGTCTGGGTGGGTGGGTGGGCAGAGCCCCCCGCCACCACTACTACTGGTTCGCCCGATCCAGGCCAAATCGGGAGCAGCCCACCTCTGAATCAGTTGTATTATAAATGATGATTTGATTTTTTAGTTGTATACAATACACCTGCTGGGTTTTAATCAATGCAATTCTACAATCAGTTCATGCATGACTTAGGTTGAAAACAATTTATTTTTCCCAATGACATATTATTTCCGCTATTTATGCTTTTAATTTTTAATAGGCTCTGTAGAGATTCTAACACAGAAAATCAATTTTAAACATTTATTCTTTTTAAAAAGATGTTTTGGGAAGCTTCTCCTGTATACCAGGTATATAAATCTTGTTCTAATTGGAAAACTCTTGAACTGTTGTTGCATCCTCTGCTGAGGCCCAGTGAGCCCGAACAGTTTAAAAAAAGTGTATAGCAGGACATAGAGCTTGGAGCTTGTTCTCTGAAGTGGTTCCTGCTGCCATTTTTATTATTGCTAGTCAACAAAGGCCATTTAAATCTATAGTTCTGTTTATGCCTTTGATGTTAGTCTAATTTGCATACTATATAAGAGAAATTGTGCCAGTTAGCTAAAATGTATGTTAAACCAATTGGGGGAAAAAAGACAGAAAATTTAGCAAGCCAGGATGGAAGTGCTTAATAAAATAATAAGTAGCACAATTTAAGGTACACTATAAAACTCCTTCCCTCCGTCCCTCCGTCCCTTCCTTTCCAGTGGTGGGTTTCAAAAACTTTTAGAACTTATTCTGTAGGTGTGGCCTGTTTTGTGGGAGTAGCTCAGTGGTCATGTGACTGGGTGGGAGTGGCTTGGCAGTCGTGTGACTGGGTGGGCATCGCAGAGGCGGGGTAATTGGTAAGCCAGCCAATCAGTGAGTGGCGGGTGGGGAAATTATGGTGCGGACGGGCAGGGCGAGCAAGCGAGCAGCGACCGGACGGACGGGGGGATCAAGTGAGGGGGGGGGGCAGGCGAGTGGGAGCGTTCCGGTACTGTTCCACTGGATGAACATGTTCCAAAAGGTACACTAAATTTCACGAACGGGTTCTAGCGTACTGGTGTGAACCAGCTGAAACCCACCCCTGTTCCTTCCTTCCTTCCTTTGATTAATATGATAATTCTATCTCTGTCTTAGGAGATATTCAGATTGGAATGGTGGATAAGAAAGGACAGTTAGAAGTGGAAGTCATTAGAGCTCGAGGCCTAATACAGAAACCTGGCTCTAAATCTACCCCAGGTAAGAAAAGCTCTAGCCAAATTTTAGGGGTGCTCTGGGTCCACTGTGCATATAGCTGCGAAGAATCGTTTCCCAAATTATGGATGGAGCACTCAAGCACTGCTTAGAATATCCAAGGGTATCTGTCAGATGGGGCCCAAAGAGTCAAGATGGTGGCAGCAAATGCACAATTGAAGACCCAATCACCCTTTGTGTGGGTGCTGTGTGGGCTTCAATCACAAGGATCACATCAACCTTTTGAGCAAGTGCCATGCATGGCCATTCTTGGAATGATGGATCTAATACCCAAACATCACAGCTCTGATTATTGGTACAAGAATAATCAGAGAAGTTATGAAAGAACATGTAAGGGGAGGGGGCTTTATTTGATTCTCCTAACACTAAGAGAATAACCAAGATCATAAAATGTGGTAGATAGTTATATTTTGATCATGGTAATAATAAGCATGGCACTGTTTAACATTATTAACTAATGAACCATTTGGGGTTGGACAAATATGATTGTATAAAAATATATGTTTTATTCACATTTGCCCCTTCAGCAGGCAAAACAACTTATGATTAAATCTGTTTTATAATTTTCATCGGTTTCTCTATGCATACACAGCATACTGGCTATAAATCCAATAGATGTTGCCAGATGTGGATAAGAAGTTAAATTGCAATGGGTTGTTTTTTTTTATGAGAATAAAGTTTGTTCTACTCTATGGGCTTAGCTACATATAGGATTGCCCTGTATACTTCCTCATAGAACAGATGACAAAAGATTGTCATAACTTAAGAAATCTTCCAATGCAATACACTACGCATAATACACATTTCCAGCATCATTACGAAGTGCACAGAGTAAGTGAGGGATGGCCTGAAGCTATGTAACCAAAGTCTTTAGTGCCATTCTTATCTTTTGCACAAGTCGGTAACTTGTCATTTCCTATCAAGAAGAAACTCAAATCTCTGAAAAGAATCCCTGATACAGTGAAAACTATTTCAGACATGACTACTGGAAAAAGCATAATTTTCTAGCTCAGTTTTTTTGTGCTTAAACAAGAAACACTAAATACTGGCAAGAAGATTGCTACCTCTTAGGCATTCTTTCTTGATCCATAATTGATTATTTGTCTGTATGATAAAGAGATAGAGAGATGAGAGCCAGTTTGGTGTAGTGGTTAAGGCATCAGGCTAGTTGAATGACCTCGTGACCCGACAAATGCGGACACGACAAAAGCACGGCGACAAAACTGTGGCGAGAAAACCGTGACATCGAAATCGCACCCACAACAGCGCGCCGACTAAGGTTAGGGTTAGAGTTAGGCTCAGGGTTAGATTTAGGGTTAGGGTTAGGGTTAGGGTTATTACCTTGTTTTCGCGTTGTTTGTTGATGGCGCGCTTTTGTCGGCGCGCTGTTGTGGGAGCAATTTCGACATCACAGTTTACTCGCCGTGGTTTTGTCGGCGTGCTTTTGTCATGCGCACATTTGTTGGTGAACCGAGTGACCTTGACCAGTCACTGTGTCTCAGCCCTAGGAAGAAGGCAAACCACTTCTGAAAAATCATGCTATGAAAATTGCAGGAATTTGACCTGTCTCCAACGATCAGGCACTATTGAAGATGTATTTATCTGTCTTCTATTTGTCTATCTATCTCTATCCGTCCACAATCAGTAACTGGTACCTTACATTAACCTTTCTTTCTGATTTTCAGAAGAAATGTTAAGGATTAAAGTATACAGAATATTTACAGTATATGCTCTCATCTAAAGATTTTCCTGGTAAATCTGAATAATTCATGCGACCATGCCAATGACTAAAAATATGTTTGAGTTTCCCAGAGTTAGGACAGATTTATACTGCCAAAAGACTAGAGGAGAATCCTAGATGTTTGATTCATTACATTTTTTTTGTAACTTACCAGTTGTCCCTTTATTTTCGTAATCATGTTGGTAATTTAAATTAATTTCTTATTAAAAGTACAAACGCCGTAAAATAAGGAAGTTACTAACTTAAGATGTAAAAACATGACATATTTATCCTTTGTAGCGCCATATGTCAAAGTGTACTTGCTTGAAAATGGGGCATGTGTAGCTAAGAAGAAAACAAGGATTGCCAGGAAAACCCTTGATCCCTTATACCAACAGACGCTGGTTTTCGATGACAATTCACATGGTAAAGTCCTTCAGGTCAGTAAATACTTTTATCTTGGTGCAGCCTATGATCACTATCCATGATACCAACTGAAATCTGAACACGAGTTAGATCTAAATTCAGCTCAGAAAATATGAGAGCCCCTCTGTGTGGGAGATGGGTGGTTAATAAATTTAATGTATAAATAAAATACAGTAGTGGCCAAAATTGTGGAAGCTTTTGGGAAAAGTGTATTTTTGAGGTTTGATGACTAATAACACCACTTTTGGGGCGGGGAGTACTTGAGAGACCGCCTGCTGCCAATTACCTCCCACAGACCCATTAGATCTCACAGGGTTGGCCTCCTCCGGGTGCCNAAGCCACTCCCACAAAGTAGGCCACACCTACAGTAGAGGTTCTAAAAAAAATTGAAACCCACCACTGATGTAATCCTTGACTTACGACCACAACTAGACTTTCCGTTGCTCAGCAAGGCAGTGAAGTGAGCCACACCTGATTTTTATGACCTTTTTTTGTTAAGAAAGTCGCTGCATTTATTAAATGAGTCATGTGGTCATTAAGCGAATCTGGTTTCCCTATCAACTTTGCTTGTCAGAAAGCTGGGAAAGCTGAAACTCTTGTAAACGCATGCTGGTTGCCAAGCGCCCCATTTTTGATCGTTGGGGATGCTGCAATAGTCATAAGTGCAAGGACTAGTTGTAAGTCATTATTTTCATGCCATTGTTATTTCAAACTTGCTAAACAAAACTGAGGGCTACTTGTAAAATGGAGAGCTATTGTCTTCATGCTACACAAGAAACATCTCGCCACAATCTGAAACCAAGGACCCATCACTTGTCCAAATGGAGCCGTTGAGATATTAAAACAGCCGGGATGAAAAACACTTTGCACTTGGACACGTCTTCCTTTTCAGTAAAACAAAGTGATACGTAATCTACTAGGATTCTCTAGCTGCATTTCATTTCAGAACACATGTTGTAAGATATCAGTGCACTGCAGTTTACAACGAAATGTATCTAAGCATCAGAAAACGCAAAGATCTGGGTTACATTTTCAGGCCAGTTAAAGAAAATACTGAACATTACCAATTTCACTAAACAATTATTTTGTGGAAGAATGATATCCGACTCATCTGCTGAAAAATTTCAATCCTTTCAAGCATTTCCTAAATACGACCACAAGGTGACACGAGAGGCTTATTTTTGAGAGGCATCACAGCCCGTTGCTTATTGTCTCAGCTGATTACCACCACATTAACAACTTCAGAAACTGATAACGGATATGTGAATGCTGCTTGATGCTGCTATTAATCTGTGTTTTTTTAATTGAAACAATTAGAATAATCTTTTTTTTATTACTAGCCATAGAAAAACAGATCATTGACAAGCGGCAAAGATGACATCATGCTTCAATATCATTTTCGCAAATCATCTTTCAAATAATTGTGTAACATTGGAGGAAGTCATGCACAGAGCAAAGAGACATTATTTTTAACCACATTGGCCAATTAAAAGTCAAATAGTTCTTCCAGAGGCTGAGTTTCATTCTTGTATGATCTGAACAGCACTTTTAGATTTCTGAACATTTGAAACAGCCTATTTCTCTGTTCCAAAACCGTCCCTCCTTCATGCTTCTATCCAGGCAAGAATTTTTGGGTTTGTGTGAAAGGATTCCCTGGCCACAAAGAAGCTTGTCATTCTCTACCCTACCCCCCCCCCATACATATTTTTGCAGCCAAAGCAAGTAGTCTCATTATATTTTCATTGAGGAAAACATGGGTGATGTTACCCTTATCTAAAAATACCTGAAATCAATTCATTTTTGGGGAAGGTCACCCAACCATGGATGGATATCTTAAACTCACTGGAAAGTTTAATTATGTGACACTTTAGAATAACACGAATGGTCCAAAAAGGAATGATCAATGATTTTTGCTCAGGAAGCCTTCTTTTTTTTTTTAAGGGGAGGTGAGGGAAGGACCCAGTGCCTGTAACATTGAAAAGATGTTGAATTTAATGTCTAGAAACCTTCCACTAAAATGAAATCCATGGCAACATTAATCTGTTTCCGCCTCAAGGATCATAGTGTATGGACCAAGGTCTGTCTGATGGAATCACTTCACACATTGTTCCTTAGACGTCCTGAAATAATTTGGCAAAAACATCTTTGTTGCCTCGTGACCCCGAGCAGACTCAGCCTTTGGTTATGCTGTATTTTTACCGCAAAAGGGCACGTAGGATTACAGTTTTTTCTGCAGTCCAGCCAGAAAATCTGGCAGGGCCTGATGGCTTAATTGAAGGAATTCATTAATTTATTCAATCCAACCACTATGTTCTATCACGTATGTAAATTAATGGAACATGAAGGTTTGCAGAATTCATTTCCAGCAATGCTGGGTAATTATGCCAGAACTTATATGACAGAAACTTGTAATACAAATGGGAGCCTTCCTTCTATATTTTTTTTCAATCTCTCAGAAGTTTAATGGACAAGTAAATTCAGATTAATAGAGGAGGCAGTAAGGCCAATATTTCAGGGTGGAGGGGGGAAAAAGGGCAAAGTTGTGCATCTGTAAGTTGTCGTGTCTTGCAAAGATTTAGTATACTTTTTACTTGTACTTTTTAGTACTACTTTTTATCTCTTATCAAAATGATTTCAAAAAATCCATTGCTAAAAAATAGTGACTTGCAACTGAATTTCTCAATTCCCTCCAGATGTCCATGAGTTTTATTATCTACAGAATATTCTGGGATATGAAATTAGGCCCTGCGGTTGAGAGTTGGCAGAGTCAAAAGCAAAGATCTTAAATTAGACTGGTCCCTCTTAAAAACCATGGGCAAGTGTCAAACCTTCCTCCTCAAAGCACGAAACTATCAGTCCATTATGTCAACAGGTTGGAGAAAGAGGTACAACATTTGGATTTGTTTCTGCCATAAATAGTAACAGCAAAGAACCATTAAAGGTGCTGCTTGTTAATACAGAGCTCATGGAGAATGGCATTAAAGAGCAATCTGCAAGGCAAGAGCCAGATAAGAAGAGAATTTGAGCCCAGGCCAAAAATCTAGATATTTGATTAAAGATCTCAGACAGATCCCTCTCTGATTCACAAAAGATAACATGAGGGAGAAGGGAGCAAATTCAGGCTTGCAAGATTTTGCCACTGTAATTCTTACAATAAAAATTGCATTTGCTTCTTAGTCTGGTCTGTTTTATTGGGCTGACACCTGTTGGTATTGGTATTGGTATTNCTCCCAGCATCCATGTGGTATTCATCTGGCTAGTGTCCTTGCTGCAAACAGCCTGCCCCCTCCATGTATGCTGCCTCCGCTGGGGAATGCTAAGGCTTAACTTCCCAGCAGCTGATCGGCAGTTGGATCGGCCTTCCAAAATACCGCTGATCAGCTGTTCCAGACGGCAGGGATTGCTGCTGCTGTTCGCCGCTGCTGCCTATCACCAATATTCACTCCATAAGACACACAGACATTTCCACCCATTTTTGGGGAGAAAAACAAGTGTGTCGTCTTATGGAATAAAAAAAATACGGCAGTTTATGATTTGTATTAATGTGTATTGTTGTTTTTAATTTATGGTCCAGATAGCACTTTAATATTGTAATAAGGACCATAAGTCAATCAGAGTCATTTCTGATTGGAATCCCATGTAAGTCTAAATAATTAAGCAAGCAAGCACTAATTCTGCCTATTGTCTTTGCAGGTGATAGTATGGGGAGATTATGGCCGAATGGATCACAAGTGTTTCATGGGAGTTGCACAGATCTTGTTAGAAGAACTTGATTTATCCAGTGTGGTAATAGGCTGGTATAAATTATTTCCACCTTCCTCCTTGGTAGATCCAACGTTGACTCCTTTGACCCGCAGGGCTTCCCAGTCATCTCTGGAAAGTTCAACTGGGCCTCCCTGTATTCGATCTTAACGTAAAGCAGGAGTTCTCTTAACAAACTCAATGTCACTCAAGGCAATCAGTGGGAAGGGGAATAGCTATTTGCAACAATGAGGAACAGTTTTGAAAAGAGACAATCATCACATCAATTTTGCCTGTAGTAGTTGATCCAAAAATATGTCTTGAGTTGTGTATTAAAAAAAAAAGACAGCTTAAATCGATTGAGCAAAGCAGTATATGAAAATATAGTCAATCCATCTAGCAAAATGACCCTGATGTTTACCCTTATCAGGATTTAAAGAAGGACTTTTGAGATTCAACTGGAACTACCATTCTTCAACAGTGCCCCCTGTCCCATTTTGTTTCTCAGCAGAAACCACAAGCAATGTTAACGTCCTGATATTTCTGTATTGTTACCTCTCCTACTTCTTTTTTCTATGTTCTCCCGCCAGTTTTGTAAAAAAAAAAAAAAAAAAATCTTCTCGATGCTAACAGAGACTCTTCCTTTCTTTTTCTAAAACAAAATCAAAAAGGGCTGAAGTATATCTCTGTAAGCATCTCTGAAAGTGTTCATCTGCAATCCTGCGATGCCAATAGCTGTCCCCATTGGCCCTCCTTTCTGGTTGCCCGCAATCTTAATTAATAGGTGGGGAACTAGAATAAATGACCAACTTCTGGTTTACTTTTGCTTCTTATTACAGCTTGTTACTGTTGTAAAAACAGAATATATTTGCATTATGCATCAAGGTTTTTCCCCCCTGTTTTTAAGAGTTTGCATGAGGGAAATATAAAGCTGCATCTATTGTTACAGTCTTGTTTTAAAAAAAAAACACGTTTTGGCTTGGCTTTGGGTTTAATTTTAATATACTGGCCATTATTTTTGTAAAGTGGTTGTTCTACCACAGCTCATTAGAAAAATCATTAGAATCATATAATACACATATAAATATTGATTGGGAAAATATTGAACATCTAAAACCTTGGGTTGTTATCTAGGATGTTTGAATTCTTGTGTTACTTTTGAAAAGACTTAGCTGTCCCCTTTTAGAGTTTGGTATAAATTGTTCAATTTTCCACTGAATTTTTTTTAATAGTAATTTTATTCAAATTTACAATTAAAAAGATTAAAAATTAATGAAAACGGAAAGAATAGAAGGAAAAATAGAAAGTACAGAAAATAAAAAATAGAAATAAAAATAGAAGAGAGAGAAAAATAGGACTATAATAAAGAAAAGGAAAAATATAAAAAGAAATTACTTCTTCATCACAAGAGGTTTGAACAATTTTAATAATTTTAATAATAATGTATTTTTTAAACTACAACAAATGAACTCTTCTTCCCACATCCCATCTCTTATCTATGAAAAAAAAATCCTTAAAGCCTCGTCAATCAAGCCTAATCCATTAAGGTTTACCACAGATAACTAGATAAAACATTGTTATATTTCTTCCTTTTATTTCAATGATCTTGTTCCTTAGCCCCTTCAAATATTGTCCTAGAACTTGATTTCTTTTCATTTTTTTCTTTGTCCCTTCTCACAAAATTCTTCAAAGCTTTATCAAGTCTCTCCAGTATGAAATCTTTTTCCATATCATTCTTGCAGCCTGTCATTTTAAAATGTACTTTCAGATCAGTTTCAGTCTTCTTCAGTAAAACGTGTTCCTTTTCCATGACATCTTTCAAACAGAGTCTGTCTATTGAGGCAGACATTCTTAAAGTTAATTGCTGGGTCCATTGTTCAAGAATATCATTCAATATGCCTAATGTTAAAATATCTTCCTTCATTCTGCGTTAATAAGACAAATGTAAGTGTTCTCCTTTAATGATAATCTTTAGTTCCTTCTGGTTTCTTCTAGTAACCAATCTTCAAAGCCTCATCCTTTCATGATTCTTTTAAAAAAGAATTCAAAATAAAGGCATTTTTCACCAAAAGAATTCTTGCAATTAATTCAGAAATCTAATTTCCAATCCATTCGGACCCTGAATCTGTTTGTAACTTTACAAAATCAAAGTTCTCATCACCCATTTTGCTGTTTATTCCACTGAGAATTATTTTTCATTGAAAATTCCAGTTGAACTATTCTGCACTTATGAATGCTTTTTTTAAACTTCAGTTTACATATCTTTGAGATTGATGCAAGCACAAAGCTTGATTGTTTTAAAACAAAGTTACCTCGTGGGCGGGTGGGTGGGGTTTGGGAGAGGTATAGTTAAAGGAAGAAGAATAAATATACTTGCATTTTATTCATTCAAGTCAGCCTTTCCCAACCTGGTGCCTTTGAGAGGTTTTTGGACTGCAACCCTCTAGGAATATGGTGAGTTTTAGTGCCAATAAAACTGAAAGTCACCAGGTTGGGAAAGGCTGATTTAGATTCTTTATGGCCTTGAAATCCCTTGTGACTTTTTTTTTTAATGTTTTTGGTTTTTTTTTGTAAATGTGCTTTAAAATGCCCTGTAGAATATACAGGTGCATTGAGATGTTTTTGTTCCTTTTATGGTGATTTCACAAAATAGAGAGCAGCATGACCAGGAATTATTCCAAGCTGCATGTACATTTTTGTAAAAGAAAAAGAGGGGAAGGGGTAAAAAAAAAAAAATGGAGGGGGAGGGGAAAAGGAAAAAAAGGGGGGGGGGAAGAAACAAAAGAGTTTATTTAATAATGTATGTTAGTTCTACATAGGCCAGATTGTATGTTGCATGTACATGTACAGTTTGCTCGTAATTACGCTAACGAAGTAACCAAGAAATCTAAGCCATCCATTTTTTTCTTATAGGCATTTTGCAGGTTTCAGCCAGGCTATGAGTTAGCCTGGTGCTAAATGTCTATAGATGGACTTTATTTTTTACCCTATGGAAAACGTGATGTAGTACGGACCAAATTCCTTCTAATAAATATTTTGGTGTAGATTCCTACTGTGGGGCTGTAACACATGTAGAAACTGTGTACACAATTAAGTTTTCCTTCATAGACATAACTGCCTGCACCAAGTGAAATATTTATTATTATTCTTATTACTAATTATGATTTAATATTGCCAGAACTATTCTGCCCATGTTTCCATGGGGCACATGGATTGATTACTGCTCGACCTGCTGAGCAGGAAGAACTGAAGCATTGGTGCACTGACTAGATTCTGTTTTGTCTTTTAGTGGCCAAATAAATAAATGATTCGGTAGTATCTTTCTATTTTGACCACTTGTCTTAACATCTCCCTGTGCTTTTAAATGAACTTCCAACTCATGTTATGTAGACATGTTTAATAAAATTTCCTTTTCATGTTCAGTTGCATTTGTTGCCTTCTGTTCAATGTGTACACAAGTAAAATTGAGTCCTGGCAACATTGACTGTTGCATTTCGGTGGGTTGGGCAAAGTATGTATCTTTGGGACCCACGCATTCATCTGGTGCCCTCTAAGGACTTCTAAAAGAAAGCAATATGTCATGGTCCATAAGAACATCGAGAATCTACATGCAAGCCAACTGAATTCCAGGATTTCTAGAACATTTTAAATGTGCAAATATGGCAATATTTATATATAGAAAGAGATAATTGGATATTAGATAGGAATACAGGGGTTTTCTCCCTGGAAAGCCAGGCCTCCACATCCTATTCCCCCAGCTCTTCGTTGCCTTTTGTCATTCTAAGCCCTGGGTGCCTCTCTTCAGCGTCTTTTCCAATTGTTTGCTACTGATTCTCTCACTGATGAAGAAGGCAAAGCTGGAGATGGTCCAAGAGCACAAATGGACAACCATTCGCCTGGGTTCACGTCAGAGTTCTTGACTTAAGCAAAGGGCTGAGCTAGAAACTCTCCAAGATCCTTTCTAACCCTACGCAATTGGTATTAAATGTACAGCCTCTTTACATTCTTTAAAAAAAAATGGTTGGCAGGTATTCCCAGACCAGGAGATGATTGCAGCAAGGGCAAAGGTGCTTAGAATGTAGAATAATAGAGTTGGAAGAGACCTCAGAGGTCTTCTAGTCCAATCCCTGCTCAAACAGGAGATCCTACATCAGTGATGGCTAACCCTTTTGTCATGGCATGNATAGGTGTTACGTGGGTGAATCGAGGTGCACCCACGATCGCTCGCGCGGCTGCATTCCACATTCTAGACTTCATGGCTGGATTTCTTCTTTAAAGGTTTTTGTATTTCTAGGAATACACCAAAAAGCTGCTTCCTTGAATCCCTGCTTGTAAAGCTTCCAGTCATCATACTGGCTGTTGGAAGCTTGACAGAAATCAAAGGAGAAGCTTTGTGGGGAAATGCCATTGCATCTTCTGCAGGTTCTGCCCCAGCCATGATGGAAGTTCCTGCATCCGTTGGGTTTGCTGTGTTTATAATCTTTGGGAAGGATCTGAAAGGGGAGATCGGAGTGACTGGCAGTACAAGAGTCCTTGAGTCTTGCAGAAGGGAAAGAGTCCTTTGACCTAAAAGTTGCAATCTGATCCCACCAAGTTTGTGGATGTGAAATTAAGGACTGTGTGGGATGGAAGGAAACTGCTCTCCCAAACTAGTCCCGATGTAATGTGACACAGAGTGGTTAGGACTCTTTTACTCCTATTTTTGTTACACAGCTTGCAAGCGCCATGTGAGGAGAGCGAAGGAGATTAAAAGAGGGAGGGGCAAATTGCAAAGAGGTGTTTTGGTTTATTCTGTTTACAGGCTTTTTGTACCCAAATGCTGGTTGCCTAGGAAACAGCCGAAAGCTGGATTTGGATAGATACTTTGTCAACAGCATATGAGAATCCTGAGTGGATTTCAAAAGCAGCAGGAAAGGGAGAAATGTCATATCCTGAGGAAGCAAATAACCGAGAAACGTTCTGTCCCTGGTCCGTATACTCGGGTGGCAAATTTAGTATCTTCGGTACTGAAATAGCTGGTGCCTCAAAGCTTCCCCTGACAAGCAAGGATGCCTGCACAATAATGGAATCACTTTGCCAAGCTATGCATGGCGTGTGCTTAAGCTGCCTGAAACGAAGATGAATCACTTTCCGCAGCTCCCGTTTCTTCTTCAGCACTGAGAGCACTTATACAAAGGGGCCCGAACAAAAGTTCATCTTCCGATCAGTCCTTCAGCCATATTTTTTTTTGTTTCGGAGGCAGAGGATTTGTTCCAGAGCTAGGCAGAAGTGCACCATTGTACAAAAACACTGTATCTGTTTAATATCGACCTGTTTTGCACGTATAATAATGTCTGATTCAAACGGGATACCGTGGCTCCACTGATAGCAAGGCTAGCCATGGTTAAAGTGAACCATGGTTCCCTGAATTAACTAGCAATAGCAATAGCAATAGCAGTTAGACTTATATACCGCTTCATAGGGCTTTCAGCCCTCTCTAAGCGGTTTACAGAGCCAGCATATCGCCCCCACAGTCTGGGTCCTCATTTCACCCACCTCGGAAGGATGGAAGGCTGAGTCAACCTTGAGCCGGTGAGATTTGAACAGCCAAACTGCAGATAACAGTCAGCTGAAGTGGCCTGCAGTACTGCACTCTAACCACTGAGCCACTTCAGCTCTTAACTGGCTCTGTCAATGAATGGAAACTAATCAAGGA